TCTCTATCCTCAGTCAGTTCCTCTGGTGCTTTCTTTACTGGCTTTTGAATTATTCAATTAACAGAGAGCAATACTTAAAAAATCAAGCTGCCAAGAAATCTGAATGTGTCATTCTCATATTGAAAAAAAGTCAGTTACTATGAATGTTACAGTGGCAGGCACCTTGAAATAATTAAACTAAGTGGGCAGTGAGAGGCTGGTGCTTATTGAAGGCACTGAGATTGACAGCTCTTACACTATGTTTTTCTTTCATCATTTCCCTTGGTCATCTTCCCCCTCTCTATTATGCTAATGCTAAAAGCAGCAGGCAGCAGTCTCCTCAAACCCTCAGTGGTGACAGCGTATTGGCTGACCTCTCAACTCACATTTGTCTGATTTTTAGTACAAAGATTCCTGATGGGAGATTTTAGATGCTAAAATAGTAAGGAAGCAGTTCTGCTGTGTGCACGTACCTGTTTTCTGGCTCAGTGGTCTGGAGATGGGTCAGGCCATTAACCAGGATGAAGAACCACATGCCTTTGGGGTTGTCCTCAGCTGCTGCTTCCGAGAAGTCCCTTCTCCCACGCGATGGCAGTGTTCACCTTGTGTTCATCTCGCACCTCCTGCTCTAGTTGACTGCAGAGAACTCCAGCTGCTTGGGCTGGGCTTGGCAGTGGCTCCAAAAAAAACTACTCCAAGGGGCAGCAGAAGGCAAAGAAATACTTAAGGTGAAAGGGTAACAGAAGGATTCCGGGTTACAGAGGCTTCCCCTTCAAATTATTCATTGCATATTTTTTTCCAATGACATAAAGACATAGCTCCTCATAAACACACGTGAAACAACATATGGAATATGGATGCATAAATTGCACCACTGTACAGAGCCATCACAGTTTACCTAAAATAAGCAGATAAAGTGTCACACAGGCAAAGATGGGTATGTTAGATGCAGAAACATTCCTACACCATTTAGATCCTTTGATGAGCATTCTCCTTCTGAAAGATCTGGTCACCTACAGGTGAAGATGACAACTTAGACTCCCAGCAGGGTGTGAATATGTCTTTTGCCTCTAAGGAGCTTTTTTATAACCACAAATTTCTCACTGGCTTTTTAAAGACCCAGATATCTGAGCACTTAGGTGCATATATGCATTACTGTTTTGGCTAACAATGGTAGCAAATGAGAAGGAAAATTTTTACAAATTGCAACTGCTGGTGGGGTGTGATCCCTGCACAGGCCAGTTACAGAAAGGCTCTGGGGACTGTTTCCAGCTCTGACTTCAGAGCCTCACCACAGAGGCCACAATTCAAATCTCAGTGAGCCCTGTTTTTCTAAAACATGGTCATGTTTTAGAAAGAAAATTCAGGAACTTGCTATTGACTGCAGGGGAACCATATCTCACCAGGGAAATGTCTCTGCCTGGCAGAGTTATTTGAACAATATGGGCAGAGTTGACTGAGTTCTCCAGACAAAGCCTGGAAGTAATTTTCACTTGTAAATTTTAAATGGGTCCCATACTTGAAGTACCTCTCTCAGATTTTTTGAGTAAAAAACTAGGGGCAACACAGGCCAAGGAAACACTGCCCTTTTGAAGATGTTTTGAGCATCCAATGTCAGTCCAGTGCTGCACTGAAAACAAGACATTGTCTGTGGTGTAACTGAAAACACCAGGATAGAAACTCATCCTTGATATTATACTGATTAAATCAATTTCAATTGGGGGTGAATTTGCTCTGTCATGTCAGATTAAAGATAAAAATAAAATAAAATTACAAAGTAAAGAAAAACAAAGATTTTTATTCATTGTGATTTCCAAGGTAGCTTGGTGCCAACCCATTCCTTTAAGCAAAAGGATACTCTTTCAAGGTTAGCCAGACCTGAATACTGATATGCAAAAGATAATGATGCAGAAGCTGTCAGTTTTTCTAATATTCGCATTAAAGTTTGGCTGATAGGATAGCTGCTAATGGCAATGTTCTTGGCCCCAGTTTGCATTTGATAGATTGAAGTGATATTAATAAAAATGGTAAATGGCTAGAAATACTCAAATTCATTGGATAATGCAGCTCCTACCCAAATGTAATGGCAAATGCAGGATATGTTTTGCAGTGTATATTATACCAATTAAATAAACTTCAACTCGGGATGCTGCCCTTCTTAAGATGTTTCTAGTATCCAGTATCAGCCCAATGCAGAACTGAAAACAAAACACTTTCCATGGTATAACTGAAGTACCATAAGGCATGTTCTGCAGTCCTTGCTTTCCACAGAAAGGGTGACACATTCAGTTCCTGAGTTTACAGTAGGTTTCACGGTGCTCCTTCTAGTCTATTAGTTATTATTTCACACTTACCAGAATTTTCAAAACTTTACTCATTAAAAAAAAAAAGTTTGAAAAAGTAGCATACAATTTGAGTATGTTTATTTTGTGCATCACCGAATTTGGATTAAATATTTCAGATTCTGCAGCAGAATAAAAGACCTTCAGTATTTCAACATAAGCAAAGTTAGCCTCAAAGGAAGAAATCCATTATGGATAAAAATATATTTTGCAGATACCATGCAGAATTAGTATGCAACCCAAAACACATGAACAAAAACCAAAGGAGAGCACACAAGCCCCACAGCAGTGTGGTGCATAGTCATATTCACCATGGACTCCTGTATCTGAATTAGATAAATTTAATTCATTGACAGACTAATGATCACTTCCTCACCCTCCCTTCCATAAACTGTCAAAGAAAATGAAATAAACCCATTCTCTGACTCACAACTTCTCACTGGGAAGTTTTATGAGCACAGTTTGTTTCTCAGGCATTTTTTTTTGGCACATCAATAGTGCTTGTTTTAACCTGAAACTGTTCTTCCTGGAATTTTTAGTGTACCAAGTGCCAGCGAACTTGTATTGTTTTCAGGAGCCCCAGAGCTACACAGGGTCTCTGCCTTTACTTCAGTCAGTTAAATGATGCACACAGGCAAATATTTTCTTGCTGTTCTGGTAAAGAGATTGCTGAAACTTTATTAATAGCATCTACCTCAACAGTGAGGCTGGGAACAGAGGTATATCTTCCTAGAGCTGGGATTAAGAAGTCCTAAACGTTTTTCACTGGTTGTTTTTTCATATATCAACGAGAATCACAGTTCTGTGAGACTGGTAATCTCTTTGAGATGTGAGGGATCACCTGTATTTTATACCAGAGAAATATCTTTCCAATGGCAAATAAAAGAATTCATTTTATTCAGCTTTAACAATATACATGTTGATAAGTGAGGGTAGCAAAAATGAAGTACTGTTAATTCTTTTTAATGTGTTGGGTTTTTTTGCATTGAAGATCTATACTTTGATTTCTAAAATAATGCTAAAATTGTGGGGGGTTTGCCTGGTCCTTCCCAGTATGATACTGGACCAAATCCCTGCAGTGTGTCTGATAGAGGCATTCCCCCTGCTACAGAGTGCTGTCAGGTACCTTTCAGTTTGCCCCTCTGCTGCTCAAATGAGCACTCAGGAGAAATTTTGACCAAATTCAGTAGTAGGACTGAGACCACACAAATGTAGTGAAGTTTAATTTTTAAAATATTTTGAAACCCTAAATGAATTACTATCATTTGCCCTAATCCGTTTAGGACTATTTTAAAGACTAATCAAATTCCAGATCCTATATGTCACCTGATTACCAACTGGCAACAAAGGCTGTAGCTGTATGTCTTGTCATCTACTAATTGATCAGGGCTGTGTTTATTTCTAGCGATCTGAAGGCATTAGCTTCTTCACACAAGAAAAAGTCCATTCCTCAAATGACTTTTAGTGGGTAGACACTGGGAGATGATTGCAAAGAGTGAAGAAAGACTGGATGAATCAAAGACAGAAAGTGTAGCTCCATTCAGACATGCAGACAGCAGGATAATGCAGTCAGCATTTGAAATTTACACACAAATAGGGAAGCGAAGGAGGGAAAATCACTGCATTACAGTCATTGCTGTAATAAGAGGGGCAGGCTTTCCAAGTGGGCCTGAAACTACAGGAGCCTGAAGAGGAAGGGAAGTGCACCCATGGGGAACAGCCTTCAAAACACATACTAGCCAAACAATAGTTCTGAATTATCTAAATGCAAAGTTTTCATTTGTTTCTTCAAGTACAATATAGTAAATGTCCTGAGCTGTTCCAAACATCATTACATGCTGGAGCTTCAGGAAGGGAGCGTGGAACTCCTTCATTACAGAGATATAATTGCTTGCCTGCACTGTGCAACAGATTTTCTCTTGGTAGTAGGAAAGGAGTCCTGCTTCTGTCAGAAAGAAATGTAGGCTGAGGTGATAGGTTTGTGTTATGGCATGAAGCAGCTCTCCCAGTACATTTAGTGGAATTCCTCTGACTCATCCAATTGAGATCAAAAGGGCCAGAACCTGTTACATGGTGAAGACTGAAAAAACCCGCTGGAGACCAAGCACCTGATTTGGATGTTGGTTATGTATGTGAAACTCAGCATGGCTCCAGCAAAGTCAATAGCTGCATATTAGCACATAAATGAAAATAATACGAGGTCCAAAACAGCCACACCCCTGCTTTTGTTTTAAGGTACTGTTTCTGTAGGGTTGAACACCCTATAGACACCTGGGGATATTTTTGGCTCAGTTTATCTAAGGAGGCAGTATCCTTTAGCCATACTTTTACAGTGTACAAGCTATGTTCTGCCATATTTGCTATTCATGATCTGGTTTGAATAATGACAAAATTTGATCCGTGATACCAGAACTGCTCTAAAAATTAATATGTTTCAATAGTCAGTAATTAAAAAGGCAGGAGAGAGACAAAGATGTTTTAGAACTGCTCAGTCCTCAGTTTATACTCAATTTACTGAAGATATTCTGCTTTTGTAATGGATAATGTATTTTGATGCCCAGTCATAGTTAGAACTCTTTTAAAATCTGATCCATAGTGTTTGAGCATAACGGAAGGACACCCTTTCACAGTCATAAATACTCACATATACTAATTAACTATGTTTTAATCTTTCGGCAGAGATAAAGATTGCCTAAAAATATGGGAATCATTAAAACATGCATTCATGTACAAGAATCCCTGTAATATCACATCAGAAGATTATCAGCCTTTAATGGAGTTAGGAAGTCATCCTATACCCTGTAACAAGGTAACAGTACAATGCATGGTGGGCTGCCTAGGGCGGGCTGTTGTGGGACAACGTGTCTATGCAGTGCTCTGAGGAATGGGACTTGTCCATAATAACTGTGAGTGTCTGTAGGTTGACAAGGAGGATATTTTGCTCTTGCACTTAACTGCTACTGTGATATCATCTTTGGGCCCCAGTAGCCCAGTAGTAGTTCATTGTCTATGGCTGGAGAACATCTCTGTGTATGGTTTACCTTGGATGTCAGTAATGTGTTTGTGCTGGTGAAGTCACAGAGATGCCCCTGTTCCCTGAGCATACAGCTCTCCTTGAGGAGCTTGCTAACATTCTGTTATAGAGGGACACTGCTTCCAAAAAGCAGCTCTTCCACACACAGTTTAAAAGCAAACAAATTAGGTATATATCCTGTGAGAAGTACTGAAAGCCTTGCTTTCAAAATGCTTCACAGGCCAAACATGTCCATTTCCATCAAAAACAACCACCTAAAAAGATTTTGGTGATGTGAACACGGGCTACAGAAACAAGAACTGACCCACTAATGTGGATGAGCAGCATTTCAATGAAAAGTGAAACTCATTCATTATCATTAAAGCTTTCTTTTTTTCCTCCAGGAAAATTTCCTGACCAGCTTGAGTATAAATATCACTTATTAGACATTGTACCTTATTTCACAGTCACTGTTCTGGAGCAAGACAAATGACCTCGTTCATCGTTATACAAAATCCAACCAAAATTTCCTTACCTTGGAAGACACCTTGTTGGGTTACATGGCTGATAGGGTTTCATGGTGTGGAGACCCCTCTGCCCCAGGTAATAAGTAATATTTTTTGCAAACCAATATGAACACTGAAATTCCAGATTATTCTTTCCTCTTGCATGTCTTGACCTAAATAGTCCTTTTTTACATATTAATTTCTTGTAATTTACTTTAGAACCTTCACTGTATTTCTGTCCCATGTTATGAAAGACTGAAAATAATACCTGGTTCTCAGGTGAATTTAAAAACTACGATGTTGGCTATTATTAAAATACCAAGTTGCTGCTTGGACGAATGGTCACATCTTGCCCTCTTTATTGAGAATACTCCCTTCCGTCCTATGGCTTCTATGGGACAAATTGCAGAATCAGAATGCCACTCAAGAATGCCAGTCACAGTGGTGGGGTGGGACAGCATGCAGGCACCCCAGGGTTATTGCTGCCCACGTGACTCCTGGGTTGTCACAACTTCTAAGTTGGGCTGGAATTACTGGAAAAGCTGGGTGAAGTTGATTTTTTCAACGTGATTGGACAGCATTTGTCAAGAGCCAACTTGTTTCCCACATTTAGGAATATATGTTTTCCCTCCTCAGTTTTCTGAGAATTATTTGCATACAAGGCCTGCAGTTATCTCCCTAAAATGTGTGGAAGCAAACAGGAAGACCTTAAAAAGATGCAAATTCATTTTCCTCTTAGAGAATTTTCTGCATGTAGCCCTCTTGCTGTGGTAGGGAGCAAATCTTTTTGCCATCATTAATCAGCTCTCAAAGCTGTATTAACACTGCAGCAATATTCATCCTAACTTTAGGTTTCTATAAATGTGTTTATTCTCAGGAATCAACTATGAGTCTTGTCCAAAACGAAGTGAATGTGAGAGCAATCCTAGCTCTGTATTCTGGAAAATGGCATCCAAGATGGTAAGTTCTCCCCAAATCAAAGAATCTTGAAAAGCACTAATATCCTGGCACTGCCAAAAATGTGATTTTGGTGATTGGACTTAAAACATGGAATAGTAAATGTTCACATGCGTTTTAGCTTCAGGTGCATAAAATCATGGCTTTGGCTATTTGTATTTCCAAGGTCCCTTATTTTATGTACAAGACTTAATGTGACTGTAGTTTAGGCATTCTTATCTGGGGTCAGAGACTGTGGCAGTGTCTTAAACAACACTTGGCAGACAGCTGGAGCTTTGCAGATAATATTTTAAAATAATAATAATCACCACCTTAATTAAATTACAGGACTGAAATTGCTAAAATAAAATGCATAGTAGCACGTTAATGTTTGGAGCAGTGCCCAAATTAGCACAGAAGTTTACCAAAGAGATGAGGATCCCCTTGCACCTTCTCAGCAAAAGCCTGAAGAGCACATCCTCTCACAATAGCATCTGGCAAGGTTCCTGCCATGTCCCTACCCTTATGCACATGCCAGCTCCTGTCACATGAATGAGACCTTACTAGTCCAAGTTAAGCAGTTAGCCTGGCTTTGTTGAATCAGCACTTTACAGAAAAAAAACTTCCAGAAAAGATCTGCTCTCCTTCATCAGTTTCATTTCACATGTCAAGACTTCACCCTCAATATGACTATTAGGAGAGGACTGTCCAGGTGGAAAACAAGCCTTCCTGTATGTTTCAGCTCTCATGTGTGTAAGAAAAAGTCTACTTGCTATAAAAATATTGGTTTGTGGCTAAAGTAATGTAGATAAAGTTCTCAAGGCTCAAACCAGTTTTGATGTACTCTGTTCCAGAGTTTGGGAGGGATAAACCACCATATAGACTCAGGCTTGGTCTACTGCAAGCTTTCTAGTCCAAATAAATTTAAGAGCTACTAAACCCCATGCTTATTACATGAGAAAGTTACACACAATCAAACTTCCCTGCAACTTTACATGTCTCATGAGCTGAGTTTGTGCCACACTGTTTAGATGTAAGAGGACTTGGAGAGAGTGATACTACAGTGGATCCACTCTAGACTGAGTGCTATACGTTGTAACCTTACTTGGTAATCTTTAAATATTTGGACCTGAGTTTTAAAGGATAAAAGAGCAGTGATTACAAATCAAACAAAACTCTGTGATGAGTTTTACTAAAACAACTTGAGAGAAAAATCCCAAGCCACAAAAAGAACACAGAGTGAGAGTCACAAGGTCATGAATTCATGATCATTTGCGTATCCTTAAACTTGTGGTACTTCGGTTCTGGCTCATCCTCACCACCTGAGTTAAAGTGGTCTGAGGATTATTCTAGGTTACTGAGGGAGGGAACAGCCCCATCCGACAGTAATTTCAACTAACCCCAGGTCTGAGGTGACACTGCATGTAGTGTCAGACTATGGTGCCCATTTGTTTTGTTCAGTTTGCAGAAGCAGCATGTGGTGTGGTCCAGGTGATGCTCAATGGATCAATAGAAGCTGGAGCTTTCAGAAACAGCAGGTATTTACTCAGCACGCTACTGAATGCTTCTGTGGGTCTGCATGCTGGTGAATGTGTCTTTGCTAATGAGTCCCAGTCCAGACAAGATTTTAGAAGACTCATGGAGAAGTCTTAAACTATTGGCTATTGAAGAGGTGAGTCACTTAACTCCTTCTGCACTGCGACTGTAATTTCAATCCTTCTGAGGGTATGCGGGTAGAATCTACACTATGCTATTACTACACAAAGTAACTTTAAATTACAGTTAATGCAGGTTTGTACATTACATTATATTCATGTCAATGACACATTTCTAACTGCTCATGGAGGTAACTGGATTTTCCTCCCTCCAGACTGTGCTTCCTTGGGTTACCTGGCTGGAGGTGCAGTCTTGAATAATATCAAAAGATTGAGAACATGTAGGTTGGTAGAACAGCCATGTTCATTTCCGTTGCACCAAGCCAAACCAATAGCCAATAAACCAAACAGGAGAAAAGGCATTAAAGGTGGAAAAACTTCAGCTTGTTTCAGTCTGCAGACAGCTTCAAAAATTCTTATGAAAGTGCAATAAGAATTGGGAGAAAATCTTTTACCACAAGGTAATAAATAGTCTGTGAAAATCCATTGGCAAGATAATGTTCTTTCACTGAGAACAACAGCAGCACTAATAAGTGCTAGTATTTGGGGAACACACTTTCCACATCTTACACTAAGAACGTTTTGCTTTTTCATGTCCCATTCTTACAGCATTTTTGGAAGTATTGAGGTCTTTAACCTAAATCCAGACAAAGTATCTGCAGTACACATTTGGGTGATGCATGATATTGGTGGCCCTCAAAGGTAAGTCACACTGGGATGAAGCAACAGGTGGTGTGTAGAAGGCAGGTGGTGCAGCTCAGTTCTGACAGGTGACTGTCTGACAGTGACACTGTCTTAAATCTGCTGATGAAACCTGCCTTACATTCGCTCTCCTCACTGCTTTCTTTGCTGGAAAGGAGAACATTTTTTCTGTTGTTTTCTTTGGTATTTTTTGTAGGTACCGCTGAGCAGTTATAGCTGACACGATGATATTTTCCCTCCTTTCAAGAGATCCTGTGTCCTTTAAATCCTTCCCAACCCCTCCTGAGCTCTACAAACCCTTATCATGGTTGCAGCACTGTGGTCACAGATCAGGCTACATTGCCAGAATGAACAGCTGGAAAATGGATAATTATGCTGACCAGAACCATTTTTGACAGAATAATTTCAAGTTTCACTACAAGGTCTTCCCAGAGCCTTCTCTTCTCTAGGCTGAGCAGCCCCAAGTCTCTCAGGCTGTCTTCATAGGAGGGTTGCTCCAGCCCTCAGATGCTACATGCTTCAAGAAAGCATTAGCTGGATGGAAGCAAAATACACAAATTAGGACTCCTGCCAATGCAAAAGCATTATCAAAATAGAGTAACAGCAGCAACAGGCTGAATCTAAAAGATAGGAGTTGCTCATATCCTGTTGCCTCCCATGTTTTCTATCTGCTTCTTCCTGTTATTTGTCCTACCCAAGTCTTAGCTGCTGCTTTTCATGATTGGCCCTTTCTCATCACACAGAGGACTTGATCACTTTGTCCTTCCACAGATTTGAATGAGCCTTATATCATGTTCCTGTGGATGGAGGTCACCAGTGGCTCTGGGGCAGTTCTAGAGCACATTGAACTGTGAATAGAACTGAGTTGTTTCCCACAGACACCTTCCAGTATAACGTTCTTGTTCAAGATACACAGTTGAATATCACATAGTTTCTACCAGCAAAGGCCCAGTGGTAGCCAAAACTCTACAAACCCAATAGCCTTTACAGCAAACAAGCTTTTAAACAATCTTACCTGAAATAAAGCAAAACAACACAGTGTGGAATTTAGCTGAGCTTCTTGTACACACAAGTAAATCAAGTAACAGAAGACTTTTTTTTCCAGTGAATCCTGCTCAGGTCATTCCATAAAGATGTTAAAAAGCATCTTAGAAGAGCGGAACTTTAAGATCACCTGTGAAGACAATTACAGGTAATAACCTGCTCTTGCTGGGGCAAACTTGCTAACATAAAACTAATACTGTATCTCCCTCTTGATTTAAAATAGGTTTCCTGGTTTACAGCAGACTAGAGCAGACTCCCCTCTTACTCCATCAGATCCCATCTGTGTGGTTGTGTCCTCCTCAGGGGGTGCCCCTCGTGCTGCAGACCTCATGTGGGGTGGGTCCGGGGCTTGCTCTCTGCCCAGCACTCTGAGAAGGCACCACCACTGCACATGTTCATTTGCTTTCTGGGTAGGAGTAATGCAGCCTCTCAACAGGTTTTCATCTGACCAGGCTTTTCCCTTGGTAGCCAAAACTCTACAAACCCAATAGCCTTTACAGCAAACAAGCTTTTAAACAATCTTACCTGAAATAAAGCAAAACAACACAGTGTGGAATTTAGCTGAGCTTCTTGTACACACAAGTAAATCAAGTAACAGAAGACTTTTTTTTCCAGTGAATCCTGCTCAGGTCATTCCATAAAGATGTTAAAAAGCATCTTAGAAGAGCGGAACTTTAAGATCACCTGTGAAGACAATTACAGGTAATAACCTGCTCTTGCTGGGGCAAACTTGCTAACATAAAACTAATACTGTATCTCCCTCTTGATTTAAAATAGGTTTCCTGGTTTACAGCAGACTAGAGCAGACTCCCCTCTTACTCCATCACATCCCATCTGTGTGGTTGTGTCCTCCTCACGGGGTGCCCCTCGTGCTGCAGACCTCATGTGGGGTGGGTCCGGGGCTTGCTCTCTGCCCAGCACTCTGAGAAGGCACCACCACTGCACATGTTCATTTGCTTTCTGGGTAGGAGTAATGCAGCCTCTCAACAGGTTTTCATCTGACCAGGCTTTTCCCTACAGAAATCACACCCCAAGATGCAGCTTTCCTCCCTGCTCCATGCATGATAACGGAGGATGTCAAGGATGGCCCTTACTTCCTTCGCTAGAGTTTGAGCTTTCCATTTAGCTGCTTTGTAAGAGAGTGAGACATGAGACATGATAAGAATTATGAATTAGTATAGTTCCCCATTATCAGGAGTCCAGGAAACAGAACAGCCTGAGTTCTGACTTGCCTGGAATCTCTACCTGCCTGCTGAGGAGAAAACAAGTCTGAAACCCTTTATCCCTCTGTGTGGGTTCAGAGACCTTCACACGGGGCAAAAGTGTTCTTTATTGACATAAAAAAGCAGCAAGGGTTTCAATATTACTCATATCTTATCTGTCAGGAACAATTTTTCAGAGTGAAAGACTCATACTGGGATAAGAACATCTCCAAAATTAACTTCTCTATAAACTGCTGAGTTATAACATTAATTTTAAATAAGTTGGTCTGCATACAAGACAAATACCTTTCTGGTGCTAGGATTTTAATCTTGAGGGTAGAGCAATATATTCCTGTTTAGGTATTGGTAACCCTGATTAATGGTTACTCTGCACCTTGTGAAAAAAGTAACACTGGTGTGGTGCATAAATCTGCCAAATGGGCATCATGTACGTGCTTTCTCTTTGGGTAACTGCAGTTTTTGATCAGTACTCCCAGGAACTGTAAGTACAAATTATTTCAGCCTGTGATGAAATTAGCTAAAGGGTGAAGAATGAAGGGGAAATATGTTGTAGCTTAGATCCCTTGTGACTCAGCACATGGAGAAATCTGTCATGTCACAAAGACTTGTTGATGTGCTTGTTGCTGTGGCTAACAATTCGCTTCTTAAGACAGAGTAACAAATGACCTTTTGTGAAAGCTCAAGTAGCACACGCATGAACTACTGTGTTAAGCAGCAGGGACAAATAGTTTTTTATATAGAGCATTAACTAAATAAGCAATTTACATGTGCAGTGAAACTCTTCAGGATGGACTGTATAAGTTAGCTTCACTCCCGTGAAGTCATTGCAGGCCAAACCTTGTGGGTTTATGTCAGCTGAGCATCTGACTTTTCTTGCCACATAGCAATTGATACTGATAATTTTCTCTTGCTTTTGTCAGTGTCAGTAGTGTCTTCCAAAAGTAACTAAACATTTTTATTCACTGGATGTACTTCTAGCAAGAATTTTAATAAAACCTGACATTGTTGGCAACAGCTTTACATTCTAGCAGTAGGAATTACCACTGGTAAGGAAGGTGGTGAAATCCAGCTTAGCAATAGCTCTGTAGTCACTGCAAGAGAGTTCACATTTTTTCATAATTATTTTTGTTATCACAGCATAGCTGACATGTTAGGAGTTCAGATCCTACTTTATTTCATACTCACTTGCTTTTATCCCTAACCCCTAGAGACATCAAGTTATCTTTCTGCAGCAAGATCTAAAAAAAACGTCCTAAGAAAAGACATCCACTTGATAAGCACAGATATAATATACACTTGGAGTTTCATGTTGCATTTAGTAGCTGTGGGGTTTTATTCTGTTGTACTTGAAAAGTAGATACTAAATACTTGTTTGGTTTTGTGTCTTTTCACAGGCCAGTTCAGCTCCTTCAGTGTGTGAACAGCCCTGACCACACAGACTGCAGGCTTTGCACCAACACCACAGCAACTCCATAAACGGAGCGCTTGGCACTATTGAAGACTTCCATTATTTGTGTGTAAAGCTGGACAAGATGTGTCTACATAGCTTAGAGTGATAAATAGCAGCTTGGTATGTACAGAGTCCATAACCAGAAATCCTTACTGTGATGCTAACAGCCAAGTAGCAGAAGATGATATTTTAGATGTGATTACTGTACACACATGCACACAAATATTATTTCGGGGGGTTGGGGCCATGCTCAGGGGTTAAGGCAGATGCTTTGCCCTAGATTGCCCCCTCGAGCACAGCTCCCCTTGTGCCCAGAGGCTGAGGGCAGGGATTCCCCGGGGTGTGCGCAGAGAAGAAAGACTTTCCAGTGGAGACAGAGCTTGCTTGGATCAGCACTTGGCTTCCTACCTGCTAGAAGGCTGGAAGGGGTGGATTCAATGATCTTAAAGGTCTTTTCCAACCTAAATAATGCTGTGATTCTGTGAAATGACTGGAACATACTGCACTCTCACTGCTTTCTGGTGTAACATCCCTCAGAGGGGAATGTTGCCCAGTGGTACATTGTATAAATCATGGTTCTCCAAAGGAATGTGGCTTCTCTGAGCAGGTAAAGCAAGTGATGGAAGAGACAGAGCAGTTCTTACCTTTTAATGGGCATCCAGGTAAGTGGCTGGTGGGTAATCAGCTGAGCTGAACCAAGAAAAGACCGGAAACCACCCAGAGAGTTGTCAGCATCTATAAGAACGTGTCAAGTGTGTAGCTGAGGAGAGAAAATAGCAAGACTGACTCAGAAAGCCCCATTAAAATCCTACTGGAAACACCGTTGCAGTTCAGATTACATTTTCTTCTTAATATAGCAGTAAGCACAAGCCTTCCAGCTTTCATTAAAGGTCACTCAGACCACAGGCTGCCCATCCATGGTAATAGAGACAAACATCAAAAGGTTGCCACAATGTGGAGTCTCTCTAGAGCTCAGTTTCTGAGGTGAAAGGTGATGCCATGTGGAGTCATGGGCACGGACATACCACTGCACTACACTGAAATGGCAGGTTTCATTGATTTCCTTTGATTCCTGTTTTGCTGGTTCAGTGTTTATAACACAACAAAGACCTTGTGACCATGGCTGTAGTGCCTTTGTGCAGAGCCACTGACACTAAGAGAACAGAGCAGGCTTTGCTGCAGATGTGTCCTAGGTGTTGCAGTGCCAGCACAACCAGCAGTTGCCAAACCATGAGGCTGACAGAGGTTTCCATGATCCCACAAGCCACGTTTTAGAGATTTCCCAGCACACAAAGCATCCTCATGGAACTACACAAGCTGGTGCAATTTTGAGCACCTCTAGATAAAACTTTTCTCTATAATACACAGGCCTGCACTGAGCATTGCTGGACCACACCCAAAACCTTGCCAATAATGTTTACATTAAGTGAAATGTATTTTTATTTGCACTCTGTTATGTAAGTACTTAGATGCACCAATGCAGACACATACCAATACTTTCCAATACGTTATTTCTGACTGTAGGTCAAGATTTTGTCTTCACACTCATTTTTGTATGTCCTCTGTTGTAATAGAAAATACTGAGAGTAAAATCAAGATCTATAATAAAATTGCTGATGGCAAATGTTGTTCATTCAGATTCGCATTCTACTTAACCTCAGACTGAACGTGAAAATAAGTCACTTCCTAAAAATAACACAGAAATTCATCACCGTATGCAACTCTATATATACCCACCCAGGAAAGCAGAGAAAGGTCACAGTGTGAGTCCTCCCCAGACTGTACTCCCTAAGTCACCCCCCAACTTTTACAGAGAAGTTACTGTTTTTGTAGGCAGCTGGAAGTGAAGCATCCTGTGTCTTTGTCTTGAACACAGACATCCACATACATATGTTGTTCTCAGCCATATTAGTTAAGAAAAATGACTGTTCTTCTCAGTGGTTATGGAGCAAAATGCTAAGAAGAAAATGAGTGGTTTTGAAAGCTGAGGTGCTGTCCTGGTTTGAGCCAGGATGAAGCCAATTTTCGTTTTACTGATATTTTTTTTTCCCTTCAGTAAGCTTTCTTTTAACTAGCACCAGGGCGTTCCAGCTGTGAATGATAACAAACAGTGGAATGTTTTTCTAACTGCTGGGACTACAAGGTCACACCTTTACTCTGCTGGCTCAGACACTCCAGGGAGATCTATGGGCCCCCCATAGGAGGCTGAATTAGACAGACAGCAAAATTGGCCAGAGATATTCCATTCTATATATCTACGTAAGCTCAGAGGAAGGTCAGAGATCACAGAAGACAACTTCCTTCCTGCTCCTTCTCTTCTCTTCCATCCATGGCTGGACATCCATGGCTGAAACTCTGCAATAAACTCAATTAACATTAGGGAAACTACTACATGATAGTGTGCACTATAGGTGTACCCCTGGCCCATCAACACACACTCACGTCTGCTGCTGGGATTACATACACAGAAGGACATGAGTGTGCTCATTTCCAGCAAGAGTTTTTATTATCTATGATCACAGCTTTGAAATGCAATGCAGACATGCCCTACCAGACAAGTATAATAAGTTTATAAGCCAAAAAACTTCCCAAACCAATACAAAATACCCCAAATTCACCGAAAACTAAATAAAAGGAAAAATAATCGATGTGGATTTTGCGCCACATGGAAAATTTTTTTACTTAATATAGTTTGAAACACGTTGACTTTTGAAAATATGTTTTCCATCTGAGGAAGTTAACCTCTGTCTTGAGTTGTTCAAGACAAATGGCCCAGCTTATACCCCAGGCCCTGAGCAAAACCTCACCAAAGAGCACCACCCAGAAACTCAAGAGGAATCTGAGTTATCATGTGATACAGTGATATCAATGATATGCACTCCCCGAACCACATGGCGCTAGGAAAGCTTCTATTACTCTTTTACCACAGACTTTGATGTACTTTGCCTGACAAGAGCCTGCAATTATTAAACTTTTTTTGAGATTAGGAAACAAATTAAAGACTGCAAGTTTTGTTCTCCTTGCTAGCCATGATTTGGCCTTGTGTTTGATTTAAATCATACCTCTCCTAGGGCCAGGAGGCTCAACAGGGTGGTAGGGAAACAGCCTGAATTCCACTTAGGCTCATGTGCCACATATTTCCTCTTGGCTGACCCCAAGTACCAGCCCTAACACATCACTACAGCCTCCTGAATCCCCCTGTGATTACCTCATCCATCAGGGACCACAAGCTGTCTCCATTGCTTATGTGTAGGGACGTGAATGAAAGTAATGGCTGGGACTACAGGGTTTCATTTAAATTAACAAGCCTTATGAATCTAGAGAAAAACTGAAAAACTGAAAACGTTCAAACATGTGAAGGGCAATAAAGCTTACCCTCAGCATCAATTTACCAATAGAAAAACAGCAGTCCTGGTAAGTTATTACCTCTTTGTCAATGCCTGAGTTCTTTCCTAATCTAATAGCTATAGACATTCTGATGCCCTAGTGTCCTCTCTAACTGCCAACTCAGCTCAAGTGCCACACTTTTCATCTAACTATAATTCTACTCAATGTTCTTGTTTTATGCCATTTCTACTCAGTCCTCTAGGAAAACAGAGATGCCCATAGGTAAACTAGGTGGAAGGCACAAGCACGTGGTCAGTGCGATATAGCTGAACATTGAAGCCAAAAAGAGATAATCAACACTTCAAAGAAGAGGAGCAAAATCACTTAATATTCCATGCCCTTTTAGTTTGGATTGCTTGTGTCCACAGTCTCATAATATTAGCTTAAAATAAGTGGCACAGAAAGTATTTATTCAGAGATAACTGATTTTGATCTGGGGATGTACAGCATGAAAAACTGCATCAGTGCAAAAGTAATTGCTTTTTAATTACAATGTCAAAATTTTACAGTCCAACTACAGGAATACACCAGTGTGCATTTCTAAAATGGCCACTCTTTC